GCCTAGTTTCAGGACTGGTTTCTTTTGATGATTTTTGTTATTGCCTGGTGCAAAGTTTGCAGTCTGCCTGTTGGATATCTCCTAATCTCCATGCACCCAATGAAGAAAGCAAACCGTGGCGGGACAGCACCTTATTGGCTGGGGGCTGCCCAGCTTGAGGCGGGCGGTAGCTGTCCAGTGGGATTCGAAGATCCCTCCCACCGACGAGAACGACCCCTGGCGCTTCACTCTACGCCAATCGAGCAGTAGCTTATCACCGGTAAACTGCCATTCTCCGTGTTGTGTCTACGCCATGGGCGTAGCTGGAGTGTCCTCTCCAGGTGTAGTGCGAGGTGTGTTGGTGTGTAGTGTAGGCGGATGCTAGCCTGGGCAGTGTTTTATGGAGAACAAGCTGTTGCCCATGTAACATGTTCCCCCTCTCCACGTCACTGATGGGGCCAAAGGAACAACAAGGTCGTTACAATTTGGGACCAGTGCCGTCGCAGGAGCTGCCAGCACGGGTTGAATTCAACTTCGAGCTGCCTTAGGGACTCCAACTCCGGATTTTTCCTCGAGGTTTACTCCTGAAGCCTTTTCCATGTGTGGATATAGCCGCAAGGCAGCAGAGGTTTGGGATAAGGGTTTTCCTTCCCCTAGGTAAACTGCCTTTCCAGGCTAGCGAGCTCTACCTGCCCTGTGCTGTAACCCTAGCAGGGGTGGCTGCGGGGCTGTAAACACTTGCCAAAGGTGTCACCCCAGACTCTGGTGGGCGGGGTCGTCCATGTCCCCGTGGTAGGCTGAGGTCCAACCTGTCCTACCCCATATTTACGGGGTGAAGTTTCTCGAGGTTGTAGTCGCGCTTGCATTTAGTGAGATTAGATGTCACTTAATGGCGACGTGAGGTAAAACGGTGCCGTTTATTTTTAAACGTCCTATTTTCATCCTTATTATGTTATTTCATCCTTGTGCAAAGAATCGAGAGAAAATTTGGTAGAAAAAAAAAGAGAGAAACGACAAGAACGAAAAATATAAATATTTTATTTCTCAGGTCTTGTATACATTACAACAGCAAAAGCAAGAGGAATAAGAATTTATTGAATGAGTTATTTGTTGATTGGGATATATTTCATTTATGAGCATAATTCACGGCTTCTTCAGTGCTTAGAGCATTCTCCCATTCAGAAAGGTCCCGAGGCCCAACGGATAAGGCATCTGACTATGAATCAGGGGATTCCAGGTTCGAATCCTGGCGGGGTCGCTGTTATTTTGATTCTTTTATCATTTTAATTGCCTTTCACCAGATACCACAGGTGAGGCATAGTGAAGTTTGCTGGAGTAGAATTGCTGCATTTGCTTTAAAAAAGAATTGAACTTTTATCTAATATTCTCCGGCTTCTATAATACAAGTCATCCTTTCGTGAAATGCAACCCCTCCCGGTGGAGTTATGATGCTTGTCACATTTGCTTGTTTTCCTTGGCTTCATTGCGGACTCTGGGGAAAAGTTTGACCCGGCATTTCAAACAGCTGGAGCGATTAAATTTTTGGTTCAAATCTCATGTTTCTGAGAAAGCTGACAGGACGGAGAGACTGGAGTGAGGAAAATCTTGCATTTGGGATAGAATCTTTTGAGTTATTTGTTTACGCAAGAGAACGGTGCTTTGAATGCAGTAGATTCTGGCAAGAAGTACCGCAGGTTGTAAAAGGTGTGATTCGTCAGAGCCCAAATTTCTCGGAGTTCTGGAAAATTTTGGCGATCAAGGCAACTGACAAAGGTACCCGTGAACTATCGGTACAATTTCTTGGCGATCATTTTTGGGTAAAGGGTTAAATCTCTTCTCGTCCTGGAAAAGATGGCGTTTGGGCAAGACTTCTATGGACAAATAGTTGAATATATTTGCAATATTCATTTACTAGGAGATTATAAATAGTTTGTAATCTCTTGCTTCTTACTGAAATTGAACAAGAATAAAAATAATAATCTCCAACGGTTCAATATCTAAACTGTATCGCGATACGATAAAATGCGAAATTCTCCAGTATATAATGTCATCAGCTTCACCGCTACAGTTCCATACGAATTGTTGTTCTTATTGTACAATATTTTCAACGACTTGAATCACAAAAAAATTCAAAATTTTTCCCTCCGAGTAGTGATAAATCTCTTAGAAAAAACATTTTTCGTTCGTTTGTAGATTTTTACACAGTTTTGATTCAACACATGGCTACCTCTTCAATTTAGAAAAATCAAAGCTGAATAACAATACAAATTCCCAAAAGTTTTATGGTTCAACTGTAATTTGATGCGTTAAGTTAATTAATAAACTAACAGTGTATTTAGGAACCTCAAGCAAACTAAGAGGGCTACGAAGACGTGGCAACACAAAAGATTAAATGGGCAAAACAATAGCTTAGCGCGTACATTTTAGAACTTTGTACATTTCTAAGCCGTCGTTTGTATGACCACAACGTGAAATAACCAAAGTTTGCATGGTCTGAGAACAGAACCGATGTGGCAAATTATTTCAGTTTTCATTTGGAACTCAATGCTGTAAGGGACGGTAAACACATCCAGCCTTTTGCAAAATTCTAACTACAAACATAAATTCATTTTTAATCGACATCTTGTTGGGCGTTTCCGTCCTAACTGCAGGGCGTGAAATTAATTTTTTTTTTCTGATAACCACTTGGCTCCTAAATTGTTCAGAGTGGTAGCCAATTCAAAAAAAGTTGGTCGCCATTTTCAAAGACTAACAAAACCTTTTGTTACGCTGTCAGCTTTGTAGATGGACCCTTCAAGATTAAGTTAGGGAAAAGATCTTTAACGTGCTACAAAGTGGACACTAGGATGGATGATATACAGCGTTCAAGCTCACCTAAATCCAAGATGGCGTCTAGTTATCGACCGAGATGCATGTGCCGCGTTTTGGAAACAAAATTAACGAGGAAGTTTGCCGCGGATTTACCTTTATTTTCGCATATCTTTTTAATTCACTATATCTCTTGGTAAGGTTATGATGAAACATTCTAGTCGCCAATTTGGCGACTAATTTTCAGGATTTGGTCGCCAAAGTGACAAATTTAGCCGCATTGGCGCCTGTATTAGGCGCGATTTAACGCCCTGAGGGGGGGGGGACGTTGATGACACAAGGTCAAACATCGCGAGCGCAAATTGATATGTAAGTAAACGATGAATGCAATGCAAAATATGGATACTTCTTTGTAGCGATATAAATCTGTTCACGAGAACAGAAATCCAGAGAAACTGTTTACTAGTACCAAACATGTCAGAGCTTGTTTCTTAGCAATCAAAACATTTGAAAGTTCCAAGTCCGTAGGCTCCCCATGTGAACTTTATGACAAACTAACCATCGAGAGAAAAAAATCGCAGATCACATAACCTTTATGTACAGTATTTAAATGGAATTAAAACTACTCGTACTTGTTAAAAATTTCCAGAGCATTGTGGAGACCTGGATTAGAAATCAAGTCATATTTGGTAGCGGAGCATTACTACACGTGCTTCTCAAACTAATTATGTATTTTTCCATTGTGATAGGCTCCGGCTGAGGAGTATGTCCAAAAAGCGCTTGTCATCAGAACCGAAATTGGCGACAGAGGAGAGGAAGCATCATGTTATGGAAACCTAGGTAATGTGTTTAAGTCGCTTGGCCAATACGACAAGGCTGAAGAATATCACCAAAAAGCGCTTGTCATCAGAACTGAAATTGGCGACAGAGGAGGGAAGGCATCATGTTATGGAAACCTAGGTACTGTGTTTAAGTCGCTTGGCCAATACGACAAGGCTGAAGAATATCACCAAAAAGCGCTTGTCATCAAAACTGAAATTGGTGACAGAGAAGGGGAGGCAACTAACTACGGAAACCTAGGTACTGTGTTTAAGTTGCTTGGCCAATACGACAAGGCTGAAGAATATCTCCAAAAAGCGCTTGTCATCACAACTGAAATTGGCTACAGAGAAGGGGAGGTAACTGACTACGGAAACCTTGGAATTGTGTTTAGAACTGTTGGTGATTTTGAAGCTTCGGAAGTATGCTTGGAGAAAGCTTTATTGATATTTAGAGATATTGGAGATGGAAGAAAAGAGTTTGATATCCTTCTAGGTTACGCCGTTTTGTATTTATACCAATATAAAATCAAAGACTCCTTGTTGTGTCTTCATCTGTGCATTGAAAAGTATGAGGAGCTGAGATATTTCTTGAGCGCCAATGATCAGTTCAAAACATAATTTCTGGAGCACACAGGAATGTTCCCCTACAAGCTGCTTTGTACTTTGCTTGGTGAGACCGGAAATGCTCGGGATGCTCTTTATGTTGAGGAGTTGGGTCGAGCTAGAGGCCTATCAGACTTAATGGCAGAGAAGTACTCGGTTGAAACGCACATCTCTGCTAATCCACAATCTTGGGTTGGCATTGAGAACATTTTAAGAAAGAAAAATAACTGTACTTGTCTGTACATTTCTTATTTTCAGAATCGTCTGCATTTGTGGATCTTGAAAACAAGTGGAGTCCTTCACTATAGAAGAGTAGCACCAGAAGAGAATCTAGTTCAGGCTGGGTTGCCCAAAGATTTGTCTTTGAGTCAATTTTTGGATGATAATTTCCGGAGCAACCTCTTTCCCCCGCACAAAAGAGCTCAGCAAGATTGCGACTCGTGGAGGAGGACGAGGACGAGGACGAGAAAGTGATTTCAAGTCTATCTTTGTGTTACACGTCTATCTGTTGTGTTTATTGCTCCCGTTAATGATTTTCTTGAGGAGCCTGAAGTCATTATTGTTCCTGACCGCAGGTTGTACAAAGTTCCTTTTGCTGCCCTGAGTGAAAAGGAGGGAGCCGAATACCTATCGGAGACTCATAGGATCCGTGTCATTCCTTCTTTGACGACGCTAAAGATCATTCAAGATAGTCCAGAAGACTATCACAGCAACACTGGTGCCTTGGTAATAGGCAATCCCAAGGTTGATGGGCTGCAACCATTGCCAGGTGCAAGAAAAGAAGCGGAGATGGTCGGACGACTGGTGGGTGTTCCACCTCTAGTTGAAGAGAAAGCAACGAAGCAGGCGGTACTTGAGCGGATAAGTTCAGTGAGCTTGATACATTTTGCTGCCCATGGTAACGCGGAAAGAGGAGAAATTGCACTCTCCCCCATTCCTACTCCCAACAGTGGAAACGCTATCCCACCGCAGGAAGCTTACATGTTGACGATGGCTGATGTCTCACGAGTGAAAGTCAGAGCTAAACTGGTGGTACTTAGCTGCTGTCACAGTGGAAGTGGAGAGATAAGAGCCGAAGGAGTTATAGGAATTGCCCGTGCGTTCTTAGGATCTGGTGCTCGCTCTGTATTGGTAGCGCTGTGGGCCATTCCAGACTCAGCTACAGAGAAGCTGATGGGTCGGTTCTATGAACACCTCATTGAAGGAGAAAGTGCCAGTGAATCCCTTCATCAGGCCATGAAGTGGATGAGAAAAAACGGCTTGAACAAAATGTCTGAGTGGGCGTCGTTTACGCTGATTGGAGATGATGTGAGACTCGAGTTTGACAAGCAGCGGCAAGACTCAGTGAGAACAGGTATTTCATAAATTAAAGTTAGATTAGATGTGAAGATGGCTATGACTTATTGGTCGTTGACTGGATGGGGATCCTTTTTTACCTTGAGCATCAGGCTAGTTTAATGTATATCTTTATCTTTATCTATATATATATATATATATATATATATATATATAGATAAAAATATATATATATGTATATCTACACACACTTTTTTTTCCTTTTTGGTGAGTTACTATCTTCGTTCTCTAGTGTAAAATATAGAATCTCACAGATGCCTCTCTACCAATGAGATACAAGTAATAGCCACTTATTTTTACATATTGTGCTTGGTATAATGGTATTTGCTTTATATCCAAAATATTAATTGAGGTAATAATAAATTGGGTTATTTAAAATTTTTTCTCAGTACAGGAAGAAAGACCCCGACAGAGTAAATAATGACAAGAACTCGAAGGGAACAGAGCAAAAAGACTTTTAGATGGATAAATTAAATAGGAACAAGAAGAGAAAATACTCTATCCCAGGTTAGGGGAGATTTATTCCAATTTTTTGTGCTTTCTTTTCCAATATTCTCAGGAGGAGGTACTGGTTATGTACTCAATAATTTTTTGTTTTTCACGCAAAAATTATATTCTGATATAATAAGCACGAAACAATGTTGACCTACGTAAGGCTTTTGAGTAAAACGAATTCAGTAAAGTTAACCGGATTCTGTTTTTTTTTCTTTTTTTTTGACATCTCAAAACATTTGTAAACCTTTAGCTGAAATTCTAATAATAATCTATTTCACAAAAGTTTCCCTGATGGCCGGCATTAAACTATGATTTGATATCATGTTGTTAACTTGTGGCTACGCGATACGGAGAAATGGGTTTACTGTGGAAAGTCTGATATGCAAATATTCACTCGCTCACTGATTCACTCTGGTGTGAGACTGTTGGGAATAAATAACTTTGATCTTTTTTTTTCTTGAAAAAGAAACAGAACTTACGGTTTTATTAATCACGTGAGGAAACTCGAAAACTTTTTGTTCTGGCCGTCGAAACATATATGTAATGAAACTCGTCAGGATTAGGCATCCTTATTTCTTGTTCATGAATAATACAAGACATGTTTTAATGTCTTGCTTAAAAGCTTGAATTATTTTCTCTATTTTTTGCTTAAAAGCTTGAAATATTTTCTCTACAAAACTGTCGAAGGGGAAGAGACCGCGACGCAAAACATGAAAGAGTAAACAAAGACAAAGGTTCAACGTGAATAACCTAACATTTCATTTTGGGAACTTTGAGGATCGATTATTCCTTTTCAAATCACGGGCGAAAAGCTTGCATTAATACAGAACAAATTTTCAAGTGAGAACCTAAGATAAATATTTAGGTATTGTAGCTTTTCGCAAGTTTGACGTCGGAATCCGATATAGATATTATTTTTTCCTACGCGTAGATTGCTTTTGAAATTCATGGCAAGGGGAGATATTTCGCCACTTGAAATTGACTTTTATTAACACGCACGTTGTTTGTGAGGTCTTAGATGCTGTGTCATAAATATAGTTGTCTACATGATGCCCTAACGTCGATTGCATTAACCTTTCCAAGGCGATGTCACTAAACTTCTGGATAAAAAGAAAAGCCCGCAAGATTTGGCCGAATTACCCTTAATCTACCCCCTTACAGTTACGTTGGTGTTAATGTCTATTTAGTCACCGGAAATTCATTGTAAAGGACAATAAAATTTCGATTAGTTCAGCCAATCCCTTGAGCACGCATATCGTCAAGTGATGTTCATTATGTTATTTCATAATTTTTCTTCCTTTGTCAACTCGTTCTCCATAATATTCACTAGAGTAGTTTGATGGTTACTGGTATGTCGTCAATATGAGCGTTCACTTCTCTCACGGACGGGCGGAGATTGTATGCTTGGCTTGTAAGGGTCATAACTTTTTAGTGACTGGCCAAGGGGGGAACTGGTAAGTCATCTGTGGTAAGGGAAGTCATCAACAATTTTCGAGCGGCTGGAAAAAGGTTTCTATGGTATTTTCCAATGGTATAGCATGCACGATCCTAGTGCCGCTTCTTTCGTGCATTCCTATTATGGATCAGGAATTGCAGACCTATCACGAGGACAGCTGTCTGCTTGGTTGATTGGGACGATAGATTAATGCGAGGTGTCACTGTGGGGATGGGAATAACAGTGATGGCAAAGTAAGCTTAAAACAGAGGAAATCGGCAGAAATTGATATGGACACACAAGATGTGTGTACTTTTATTGATTTTACGTGTTAAATGTTGATTCCTCGAAATATTTCTCGTGATAAGTCGACCATATTTCGCTCCCCATTCTATTCTTAATAACGAGTTCAACGCTCGTAACTTAACACCAAGTCACACAACCAGTGACGCTTTCATGAATTAATCGGTTGCTTTTTCTCGAGACGTGAACTCGGACCACCTCTGCTGACACTGATCAGTAAAGTTCATTCTGCATTATGAATATGTCTTAATATGGGATTAATGTTAGTTTTTGATCACGTGATTGCTGAAACCATAAGTTTCTCAAATTAAACAATGCCTAACAATATCTTAACTATTGAGGTTGAAATATATTGTATAAAGCCTTAACGGTTTGAAGAAAGAAATTTAACGGTGGAGATATAAAGTAACCGTTCAACGGTAAGGTACGCTTATACTATGAATGCAATAACAGTGAATTTAAGAAAGTTTCACTCCTCTGAGAAAATTAAACCATCTATCTCCGTGAGCGCGCAGCCTCACAACTTATCTTCCTGTGCGAGACTCTGGCGCTTAAACGGAAAAAAAAACAGATTACGGCTTTAGAAAAAATATGTAACGTAGAAACCGCCGTTAGTATCCAAAAGTTTAAGAGAAGGGTATCTCGACAATGAAACGCTTGTGTACAAGTAGAAATATGGCATTTCGAATCTAGCGCGATCTCTGAATCGTTCGTTCAACCCTCCTAAACAGATTCAAGTTGATAGCTGATGTAGAGTCATAGCCACTGGAAAACCACGTGATCAAGCACCACGGATTTCCTTCAGACCCTCTTGAAGTATATGACGTCTTAGATCAGTGGTAAGTAACTGACAATAACAAGGTTCCTACCGTAATTTTTTGCTATCGTATGCAGCTGACACTTTAGATATTTCACAAGTTATTTTCTATTTATTAGAATCTGAGGCGTTGGGAACATTTTTCAAATGGGAGGGGTGGGGGGTTTTTGGTTGTGTCAAATTTGAATTTAAGGGTATACTGGCCAGAATGTTTTACTATCGTGAATTGTGGGATAGGAGGCAAAATCTCCCGATGAACCCCTTGCATGCCCCCTCTAAGTATCAAGAGGGTCGTAAAAGAGTGTTGGCATGGCTTTTACGGCTAACGGTTAATATCTTTCCATTGTTGCCACTAGAAATGTTTTTTACCGTTAACTCTTTTACGAGCTAAGGTTAAAATTTGTCAAGTTTTACGCCTAACGGCTCACAAAAATCTTATTAAGACCCTTTATCAAACGCTGTTGCTGCCAATTTGTGATTAGGAAAACTGTGATCAAAAGTATTTAACAAAGTCACTGAGAATAGGAACTGATCAATTATCAAATACGATCAAGTAAAGGATCAAAATGGTATGTTTTTTTTCCCTAAAGCGATTAACTATGTACGAGACGTGAACTAATGATTCTCATTTCACAAAATGGTATGTTTTTTTTCCCTAAAGCGATTAACTATGTACGAGACGTGAACTAATGATTCTCATTTCACAAAATGTTAATACCAATAAGAAATATATCTCCAATCTTGCAGAAGATCATGTAGTAAGAGTTAAACTGCCCAGTTTTCATGCGACTTTCGAAAATTCAAAACGGAAATCGAATACTAAGGGAGAATTAATGAGAGGGAGATATGGAGAGCGAGTTAGCATTTGCTCAGAGGATTTCAGCGTTCCAACTCAAATGAATGAATTTCGGTTTTGTACGTCACAATTTAATGACCAATGATGGAATTGAACATGTAAAAATAACATATTTCATTCCTTTTTTAACAGGAAACGTCAAGCTTCTGTGTCCATCCGTTTCGAAAATTAGAATTTCATTACAAGATCCCTACCAGTGAAACTAAAGCCTCTTTCTTTAAACGGTAAGCTATCTGTGCGCGATAATCAACTTTTCATGAACTGATTTGGAAAACCGATCAGCAGTTTACTCCGCAGTGAATGTAATTCGGTTTTGCACGTCACACTTTTATAGCTTCGAATCGACCATATGTGGTTCACCACACCACACCTTTTAACGTGAACAACTCTCGTAACTTAACACCGAGTCACACAACGCGTGACGCTTTCATGAACTAATCGTTTGCCTAATCTCGAGATGTGAGCTTGGGCCGCCTCTGCTGACATCAGTAAAGGACATTCTGCATGATAAATATGTCTTAATATAGAATTGATTTTAGTTTTTGACGCGTGATTGTGGAAACCATCAGTTTCTCAAATTAAACAATGCTGAACAATCTAAGTTAATGAGGTTGAAATATATTGTATGAAACCATAAAGGTTGAAGAAAGCCATATAACGGTGGAGATATGAAGCATCCGATCAACAGAAAAGTACAATTATACTATGTATGCAATAACATTGAATTTAAGAGAGCTTTAGTTCCTCTGAGAAAACTAAAACATCTCTCTTCGTGGGCGCGCAGCGTCATGAATCTTCTTATGCGATACTCTGCCGCTTAAACAGACAAAAAAAAAGATTTGTGCTTGTATGCCCGTCTATCGCGTCCTACTTGGGTCGAAATTTTTAAGAGTTAGTATTCATATGATAAACTGCTTATTAACTGAGTTTGGTTGGGTGGGATGGGAAAATATTTGGCACTCTTTTATCACTCATGATGTAATTGAACATGAAAAATGAAAAGTGTTATTCTATTTTTAATGGAGAACGTCAAGCTTATAAGTGTTGACTCTTTGAAAAGTTTGATTTACATAACAAGATTGATCACAGTAAAACCTTGGTTTCTTTCTTTAAACGGTAACTTATCTTTGCGTGACAATCGACTTGCGTGACAATCGACTCATGCATGTCGTCGTGAACAATTCATTTTCTAGCGGGTGTGATTTGTATTGACTGTATTTCGATTTAGCGCGTCACTCTTTTCTGACTAGTGATGGATTTTAGCGTCCAAAAATGATACATCTTACTCTGTTTAACCGGAAAGTCAGGCCTCAGTGTTCATCCATTTTGGAAAGATTGGATTTCCTTGACGAGATCGATGAGATCGAGAGTACAACTAAAGCTTCTGTCTTTAAACAGTAAGCTATCTGTGCCTGAAAAAAACAATCGAGAGATAGCGAGGGAATACGGAATTTTCGAATCAATGGTTTCGAATCAATGGTTCGGCGATCTGAAGATGACAGCCAAGCGCGCTTCCATGGACCGTTACCGACCAAAAGATCCCGAACTTTATCAACTGTAGGCCGACTGGAAGGAGCCAAGGTAAGCAAATGCCCTCTTATCTAATACATGAAAGTTCACACGGCAACCATAGTTTGATGCTACTCTGGTTTGCAGATTTAATGAATGTAACCGAAGAAGATACAATTCATAGACCCAACGTTTCGACAATCCTGTCTAGTGCCTTCATCAGGGGTGATCTAGACGCTGTAACTAGAGGTCCTTTTATATGATCACTAATTAGCGGCCTTTTTTTCTGACGAGGTGTAAATAGGCGTCAGGAAGCAAACCGCCATCGTCACGATCTAAACCTCCTCCCAAAAACATTCAAAAGGATGTTTGCTAATAGCTTTATGCGCTTAGAGCTCTCAAAAAGGATCCGGACAGGCTCGTATTATCTGCTGACAAGGGTAATTGTGTTGTGGTTATGGACAAAGAGCAATATCACGACAAAGCTTTGTCTCTGCTTAATGACAGAGTACGTATGCTGTCTTAAACTCTGATCCTAGCAGAAAAACTCAAACGCTCCCGCCATCCGCAAGCGATTTTAAATTTCTGTCTCCAAAGATCAGTTCTGGCCACTTTAATGTTTTACTTTAATGTTTTATGGCCATGTGATTTTGAATGTGACATTTCCACATCAGCGTGTTCTTGAGCTTTAGTAAAGCCGGAAGTGATCCTTCTCTACTAGAGCAGATAACTTCAGACACGTATTTCTCCAGAGCTTCGTCAGGTATCCTCTTTCCCCTCTTTTAGTCGTATTTTTAAGCTCTGTACGATTTTTTTTAATGTGAAGTGCTTCGGATTTATTTTTAGGAAACGCAACGCTTCCCCTTTTGCGAATCCTATCTTAACGCCACTTAAAAAGTGTTTACGGGCCGGCACGACTCCTTACAAAAGGATTTGAAAATACAAAAATTAAACCCGATTTTAGTGGTTTGTTTAATTTTTAAACTGTCTTAACTTTACTGAATTCGCTTTACTCAAAAGCTTTACGTAGGTCAACATTGTTTCGTGCTTATTATATCAGAATATAATTTTTGCGTGAAAAACAAAAAATTGTTGAGTACATAACCATTACCTCCTCCTGAGAATATTAGTAAAGAAAGCACCAAAAATTGGAATAAATCTCCCCTAACCTGGGATAGCTCTTTTTTTTTAATGTCGATGAAATACCGGGTAGAGTATTTTCTCTACTTATTTCTATTTTATTTATCCATCTAAAAGTCTTTTAACCTTGTTCCCTTCGAGTACTTGTCATTATTTACTCTATCGGGGTCTTTTTTCCTGCAAGAAAAAAATTGAAATAACCCAATTTATTATTACCTAAATTAACATTTTGGATATAAAGCAAATACAATTACACCAAGCACAATATATATAAATAATTGGCTATTACTTGTATCTCATTGGTAGAGAGGCATCTGTGAGATTCTATACTTTACACCAGAGAGCGGAGATAGTAACCCTTCAAAAAGGAAAACAAGTGTGTGTAGATATATATATATATATATATATATATATATATATATATATATATATATATATATATATATATATATATATATATATACATAGATATTAAACTAGCCTTGATGTTCAAGGTAACAACTTTACGTCCAATCTAACTTTAATTTATGAAATACCTGTTCTCACTGAGTCTTGCCGCTGCTTGTCAAACTCGAGTCTCACATCATCTCCAATCAGCGTAAACGAAGCCCAATCAGACATTTTGTTGAAGCCGTTTTTTCTCATCCACTTCATGGCATGATGAAGGGATTCACTGGCACTTCCACCTTCAATGAGGTGTTCGTAGAACCGACTCATCAGCTGCTCTGTTGCTGAGTCTGGAATGGCCCACAGCGCAACCAACACCGAGCGAGCACCGGATCCTAAGAACGCACGGGCAATTCCTATAACTCCCTCGGCTCTTATCTCTCCACTTCCACTGTGACAGCAGCTAAGTACCACCAGTTTAGCTCTGACTTTCACTCGTGAGACATCAGCCATCGTCAACATGGAAGCTTCCTTCGGTGGGGTAACGTTTTGACTGTTGGGAGTAGGAATGGGGGAAAGTGCAATTTCTCCTCTTTCTGTGTTACCATGGGCAGCAAAATGTATCAAGCTCACTGAACTTATCCGCTTAAGTACCGCCTGCTTCGTTGCTTTCTCTTCAACTAGAGGCGGAACACCCACCAGTCGTCCGACCATCTCCGCTTCCTTTCTTGCACCTGGCAATGGTTGCAGCCAATTAACCTTGGGATTGCCTATTACCAAGGCACCAGTGTTGCTGTGATAGTCCTCTGGACTATCTTGAATGTTCTTGAGTGTTGTCAACGAAGGAATGATACGGATCTTATGAGTCTCTGACAAGTATTCGGCTCCTTCCTTTTCACTGAGGGCAGCAAAGGGAACTTTGTACAACCTGCGGTCAGGAACAATAATGACTTCAGGCTCATCAAGCAAATCATAAACGGGAGCAATGAACATTTTGTAACACAAATATAGACTTGAAATCACTTTCTCGTCCTCGTCCTCGTCCTCGTCCTCGTCCTCGTCCTCGTCCTCGTCCTCGTCCTCGTCCTCCTCCAAGAGTCGCAATCTTGCTGAGCTCTTTTGCGCGGGGGAAAGAGGTTGCAATTTAATCGTACTTAAAGACCGATCTTCACAATCTTTAGTGGGCAAAATACCAAGACGTCGGAAATTATCATCTAAAAATTGACTCAAAGACAAATCTTTGGGTAACCCAGCCTGAACTAGATTCTCTTCTGTTGATACTCTTCTATAGTGAAGGACTCCACTTGTTTTCAAGATCCACAAATGCAGACGATTCTGAAAATAAGAAATGTACAAACAAGTACAGTTTTTTTTCTTTCTTAAAATGTTCTCAATGCCAAACCAAGATTGTGGATTAGCAGAGATGTGCATTTCAACCGAGTACTTCTCTGCCATTAAGTCTGATAGGCCTCTAGCTCGACCCAACTCCTCAACATAAATAGCATCCCGAGCATTTCCGGTGTCACAAAGCAAAGTACAAAGCAGTTTGTAGGGAAATATTCCTGTGTCCTCCAGAAATGATGTTTTGAACTGATCATTGGCGCCCAAGAAATATCTCAGCTCTTCATACTTTTCAATGCACAGATGAAAACACGACAGGGAGTCTTTGATTTTATATTGATATAAATACAAAACGGCGTAACTTCCAAGGATTTCGGACTCTTTTCTTCCATCGCCAATATCTCTAGATATGAATAAAGCTTTCTCCAAGCATACTTCCGAAGCTTCAAAATGACCAAGAGATCTAAACACAATTCCAAGGTTTCCATAACATGATGCTTCTTCTTTTCTGATGCCAATTTCAGTTGTGATGGCAAGTGCTTTTTGGAGATACTCTTTAGCCTTGTCGTATTGGCCAAGCGACTCAAACACAGAACCTAGGTTTCCATAACATGATGCTTCCCCTCTTCTATCGCCAATTTCAGTTGTGATGACAAGCGCTTTTTGGTGATACTCTTCAGCCTTGTCGTATTGGCCAAGCGACTTAAACACAATACCAAGGTTTCCATAACATGATGCTTCCCCTTTTCTGTCGCCAATTTCAGTTGTGATGACAAGCCCTTTTTGGTGATACTCTTCAGCCTTGTCGTATCGGCCAATCGACTTAAACACAGTACCTAGGTTTCCATAACATGATGCCTCCCCTTCTCTGTCGCCAATTTCAGTTGTGATGACAAGCGCTTTTTGGAGATACTCTTCAGCCTTGTCGTATTGGCCAAGCGACTTAAACACAGTACCTAGGTTTCCATAGGCAGTTGCCTCCCCTTCTCTGTCGCCAATTTTAGTTCTTATGACAAGCCCTTTTTGGAGAGACTCTTCAGCCTTGTCGTATTGGCCAAGCGACTCAAACACAGTACCTAGGTTTCCATAACATGATGCTTCCCCTTTTCTGTCGCCAATTTTAGTTCTGATGACAAGCGCTTTTTGGAGATACTCTTCAGCCTTGTCGTATTGGCCAAGAAACTTAAACACAGTACCTAGATTTCCATAACATGATGCTTCCCCTTTTCTGTCGCCAATTTCAGTTGTGATGACAAGCGCTTTTTGGTGATACTCTTCAGCCTTGTCGTATTGGCCAACCAACTCAAACACATTACCTAGGTTTCCATAACATGATGCTTCCCCTTTTCTGTCACCAATTTCCGTTGTGATGACAAGCGCTTTTTGGTGATACACTTCAGCCTTGTCGTATTGGCCAAGCGACCCAAACACAGTACCTAGGTCTCCATAACATGATGCTTCCCCTTTTCTGTGGCCAATTTCAGTTGTGATGACAAGCGCTTTTTGGAGATACTCTTCAGCCTTGTCGTATTGGCCAAGAAACTTAAACACAGTACCTAGGCTTCCACAACATGATGCTTCCCCTGCCCTGTCGCCAATTTCAGTTCTGATGACAAGCGCTTTTTGGAGATACTCTTCAGCCTTGTCGTATTGGGCAATCGACTCAAACACAGTACCTAGGTTTCCATAAGATGATGCTTCCCCTGCCCTGTCGCCAATTTCAGTTCTGATGACAAGCCCTTTTTGGAGATACTCTTCAGCCTTGTCGTATTGGCCAAGCAACCGAAACACAGTACCTAGGTTTCCATAACATGATGCTTCCCCTTCTCGGTGGCGAATTTCAGTCGTGATAACAAGCGCTTTCTGGAGATACTCTTCAGCCTTGTCGTATTGGTCAAGCGACTTAAACACAGTACCTAGGTTTCCACAGCATGATGCTTCCCCCTTTCTGTCGCCAATTTCAGTTCTGATGACAAGCGCTTTTTGGAGATACTCTTCAGCCTTGTCGTATTGACCAAAAAACTCAAACACAGTACCTAGGTTTCCATAACATGATGCTTCCCCTTTTCTGTCGCCAATTTCAGTTGTGATGACAAGCGCTTTTTGGTGATACTCTTCAGCCTTGTCGTATTGACCAAGCGACCTAAACACAATACCAAGGTTTCCATAGTCAGTTGCTTCCCCTTTTCTGTCGCCAATTTCAGTTCTGATGACAAGCGCTTTTTGGAGATACTCTTCAGCCTTGTCGTATTGGCCAATCGACACAAACACAGTACCTAGGTTTCCATAACATGATGCTTCCCCTTTTCTGTCGCCAATTTCAGTTGTGATGACAAGCGCTTTTTGGTGAAACTCTTCAGCCTTGTCGTATTGGCCAAGCGACTCAAACACAGTACCTAGGTTTCCATAACATGATGCCTCCCCATCTCTGTCGCCAATTTCAGTTGTGATGACAAGTGCTTTCTCGAGATACTCTTCCGCCTTGTGGTATTGGCCAATTGACTTAAACACAGTACCTAGGTTTCCAAAACATGATGCCTCCCCCGCTCTGTCGCCAATTTCAGTTCTGATGACAAGTGCTTTTTGGAGATACTCTTTAGCCTTGTCGTATTGGCCAAGCGACTCAAACACAGTACCTAGGTTTCCATAACATGATGCCTCCCCTTCTCTGTCGCCAATTTCAGTTCTGATGACAAGCCCTTTTTGGTGATACTCTTCAGCCTTGTCGTATTGGCCAATCGACTTAAACAGAGTACCTAGCTTTCCATAACATGATGCCTCCCCTTCTTTGTCGCCAATTTCAGTTCTGATGACAAGCGCTTTTTGGAGATACTCTTCAGCCTTGTCGTATTGGCCAATCGACTTAAAGACAGTACCTAGCTTTCCATAACATGATGCCTCCCCTTCTCTGTCGCCAATTTCAGTTCCGATGACAAGCGCTTTTTGGTGATACTCTTCAGCCTTATCGTAATGGCCAAGCGACTCAAACACAGTACCAAGGTTTCCATAACATGATGCTTCCCCTTTTCTGTCGCCAATTTCGGTTCTGATGACAAGCGCTTTTTGGAGATACTCTTCAGCCTTGTCGTATTTGCCAAGCGACTGAAACACAGTACCTAGGTTTCCATAACATGATGCTTCCCCTTTTCTGTGGCCAATTTCAGTTGTGATGACAAGCGCTTTTTGGTGATACTCTTCAGCCTTGTCGTATTGGCGAAGCGACGCAAATACAGTACCTAGGTTTCCATAACATGATGCTTCCCCTTTTCTGTCGCCAATTTCAGTTGTGATGACAAGCGCTTTTTGGTGATACTCTTCAGCCTTGTCGTAATGGCCAAGCGACTCAAACACAGTACCAAGGTTTCCATAACATGATGCTTCCCCTTTTCTGTCGCCAATTTCGGTTCTGATGACAAGCGCTTTTTGGAGATACTCTTCAGCCTTGTCGTATTGGCCAATCGACTTAAACACAGTACCTAGGTTTCCATGACATGATGCCTCCCCTTCTCTGTCGCCAATTTCAGTTCTGATGAATAGCGCTTTTTGGAGATACTCTTCAGCCTTGTCGTGTTGGCCAAGCGACTTAAACACAGTACCTAGGTTTCCATAACATGATGCTTCCCCTTTCCTGTCGCCAATTTTAGTTGTGATGAAAAGCGCTTTTTGGTGATACTCTTCTGCCTCGTCGTATTGGCCAAGCGACTCAAACACAGTACCTAGGTTTCCATAACATGATGCTTCCCCTTTTCTGTCGCCAATTTCAGTTGTGATGACGAGTGCTTTTTGGTGATACTCTTCAGCCTTGTCGTATTGGCCAAGCGACTCAAACACAGTACCTAGGTTTCCATAACATGATGCTTCCCCTTTTCTGTCGCCAATTTCAGTTGTGATGACAAGCGCTTTTTGGTGATACTCTTCAGCCTTGTCGTATTGGCCAAGCGACTCAAACACAGTACTTAGGTTTCCATAGTCAGTTGCCTCCCCTTTTCTGTCGCCAATTTCAGTTCTGATGACAAGCGCCTTTTGGAGATACTCTTCAGCCTTGTCGTATTGGCCAATCGACTTAAACACAGTACCTAGATTTCCATAACATGATGCCTCCCCTTCTCTGTCGCCAATTTCAGTTGTGATGACAAGCGCTTTTTGGTGATACTCTTCAGCCTTGTCGTATTGGCCAAGCGACTTAATCACAGTACCTAGGTTTCCATAACATGATGCTTCCCCTTTTCTGTCGCCAATTTCAGTTGTGATGACAAGCGCTTTTTGGTGATACTCTTCAGCCTTGTCGTATTGGCCAAGCGACTCAAACACAGTACCTAGGTTTCCATAACATGATGCTTCCTCTTCTCTGTGGCCAATTTCAGTTGTGATGACAAGCGCTTTCTGGAGATACTCTTCAGCCTTGTCGTATTGGCCAAGCGACTCAAACACAGTACCTAAGTTTCCATAACATGATGCTTCTCCGCTTCTGTCGCCAATTTTGGTTGTTATGGCAAGGGCCCTCTCAACATATTCCTTTGCTTTTAGGCTTTCGCCAAGTTTATAAAGCGTAATTCCATACTCTCTGTATAAGTCAAAAAGTTTCCTTCCGTATCTTTCCGCTCTTATGTAGTCAGAGATATGACGATAAGCGCTGAAAAGAATGGTATAGATGTTGCTGTAAAATTGTAGCAGTGCCGAATCAAATTGGTCTTTGCTGTTTTGATTGGTGCAAGTTCGCAAAATCAAACATTCGCTGCATATCTCAATGGCTTTCTGAATGCGATCTGAGTTGAGCAAGAAGAGGGCAACAAGTAAGGCGATGCTCATGAAAGGTGTCATGGCTTCTGCTGTTAGGTTTCCATTGCAATCCTCTCCTGTTATCAGGGAAACATTATTTTTATTAACACAATACTAAACAAAAAAAGAAAAAAAAAAAGAAAACGGACGGAGTGGATCGGTAATTTGCTCGAACATAACCCTATCACTGGTCTCACCTTTGAAGACGTTAATCCAGTGACTGAAATATGGCAACAAGCAAATGACATCAGAGATAGGAGGTGGCTTGACTTTCAGTAATAATCAATAGTCATACTTAATGGTACTTCATATTTCTTTTGAGGAAGGGAGAGTTGGGGGATGAATTTCGGTTTTGTACGTCACACTTTTGTGACCAATGATAGAATTGAACATGTAAAAATAAATTATTTCATTCTTTTTTTAACAGGAAACGTCAGGCTTCTGTGTCCATCCATTTCGAAAATTGAAATTTCATTACAACATCGATACCAACAGAACCAAAGCTTCTTTCTTTAAACGGTAAGCTATCTGTGAGCGATAATCAACTTTTCATGAACTGATATGGAAAACCGATCCGTAGTTTACTCCGCAGTGAATCTATTTCGGTTTTGTACGTCACATTTTTATAACTTCAAATCGACCATCTTTCGTTCCCCATACAATTCCTTATGACGTGTTCAACTCTGGTAAGTTAACACCGAGTCACACAACGCGTGACGCTTTCATGAATTAATCATTTGCTTTTTCTCGAGTGTGAGCTTGGGCCGCCTCTGTTGACATCAGTAAAGGACATTCTGCATGATTGATCACGTGATTGTGGGAACCATCAGTTTCTCAAACTAAACAATGCTGAACAATCTTAGTTACATTCTGGTTGAAATTTATTGTATGAAACCTTAACCGTTTTAAGAAAGCCATTTAACGGTGGAGATATGAAGCATCCGATCAACGGAAAAGTACGCCTATACTACGTATGCAGTAACATTGAATTTAAGAAAGTCTTAGTTTCTCTCAGAAAATTAAAACTTCTCTCTTCGTGAGCGCGCAGCGTCATGACTTATCTTCTTATGCGAGGCTCTAGCGCTTAAGCAGACAAAAAAACAGATTACGGCGTTTAGAAAAATATGTACCGTAGAACCCGACGCTAGTATCTAAAAATTTAAGTGAATGGTGTCTCGACCATGAAACGTTTGTGTACAAGTAGAAAACGGAAATTCAATTGGAATCTACCGCGATCTCTGAATCGATCGATCGTTAAACTCTCCTAAAAAAGTGTCAAGTTAGTAGCCAGTGCAGATCATAGCCTCTGGAAAACCACGTAATGAAGCACTACGCATTTCCTATGATGTCAGCGTGGGACAGTCTAGTTTTATGATCATCAATTTCTCAAATTGAACGATTCTCAATAACCTTGTTTTTGTTAATGAGGATAAAGTAAATAATAAAGGGATAAAGTAGGTACTGGGCTTTGCCATAAGAGCCTTACCTCTCTACAGTTACTAAATGACTAAGGCTGATAAAAACAGAGTGACTAGAAAAGATTTTCAATCGCACTTACCAAGATGTTGACAATGTGGCTGATGCTTTCAAAATGAAACAACAAAAATAACGAATTACTTTTCCCAACCTTCCGAAACTTCCGCTGTCACAGTGTTTAATGCATCCAGATCACGTGTGTTCAGGATATTCCCTTCCCCCTCGGGGCTAATCGAAATAAAAGGAAAAGTTTTAAATTGGATAATTTTTTGTGTGCCTGTATGCCCGTCTATCGCATCCCATTTAGGTTAAAAATTTTTAACAGTTAGTGGTCATATGATAAAATACTTATTGACAGAATTTGGTGGGACCAGTGGGGAAAATATTCAGCTCAGGGTCATGAAGAAAGGACCTCGCTGCGCCCCTACCACTCAATCAATATGTACAAAGTATTTCGCTTTCGTACGTCACACTTTTATCGGTCATGATGTAATTGAACATGGAAAATGAAAAGTGTCATTCTTTTTCCAACAGGAAATGTCAGGCTTACCCCTTTGAGAGGTTTGATTTTCATCACAAGATCAATCACAGTACAACCTAAGTCTCTTCTTTTCAACGCTAAGCTATATTTGCGTGATAATGGACTCATTGTCTTCATGAACTTTTCATTTTCTAGCGGGTGTGATTTGCATGATCGAAGCCAAAACTACTAAAAAAAACCAAGTGACTGTAATTCGGTTTTGCAAGTCACACTTTTATAACTAACGATGGTTATAAAATAATTGAGATAGTTCGCACGCTCTCATAGGCCAACTAGTTGGTTTAGATGAGAGTATGTAAACACAGCTTGTTTGGACGTCACACTTTCAATGTTTGCCGGCGCAATTTGAAAACATTTCAAACTCAAAGTTTTCTCAATACTCGCACAGTAATCTCAAGTGTAAGTGATAAATATTGGAATTGGAGAAGTATGTGCTAATTTTTGATCTAGGGTTTGGCTTCCATCCCTTCCCCAGTGAGGAACAAGAAGAGGGAAAAAGAGGAACTAGCACTCTTTTGCCTGCCTTGATGACCATGAACTGTGTGGCCTAGTCGAGGGAGTTCAAGTAAAGACGACAAATATGCAACAAAATGCGCAGAAAACATCGAAATGTAAGGAAACAAGGAAAAATTCTGGAAAAAATATTTTTTTCTACGCGCCCTACTTTCAAAGAAACACTTGGAAAACTGTATATCACTGAAAAGCTTATAAAGTGTTGAAGATAGTTTGAAAAGTTTGTTTTTTTCCCAGCAAATTTAATTTCAATGTTTTCTCTAAACAAAGAGTAAATGAAATAGAAGTTTGAAATTTGACCAGATCTTGTTGACAGTAACCTCAAATCAAAACTCACAAATCACGGCAGTAACAAAACAGTTTTTGTGTGGGATTTCCCGCA